CTAGCGTAAGAAGCTACGGAGGATCGTCTTCGTGTCTTTGCTGTCGTTTGTTTTCTGTGTTTTCATAAAAATGGTGCTGCACAATTCATTGCAACCGTTGCATTTGCATCTCAAACTTATTCGAGCAATTCGTCGTACCTGTTGGTTGACACGAATGCGATGTCTGGCTACTGACGAAGGACAGAAATTGATTAAACTGGCTCTGTTCGGCTGACCGTTGGAGCCGGGATCACAACAGAAATAGCTTTTGCGGATTAATAATTCGCATTATGTGGGTTAAGAAATGAAGGAACAAAGGCTCATCGCGGGCTCTTGTTTACTTGAAAGCTGACCGAGACCATGCGGCACCGAGCGAAGTCGCGAATGAGTATTGATGAGGTGGTGTGTACACGTGTGGGACGTCAGTGGTTGCCAGCTGCATGTAGCAATGGAAAGCGTGGTACGCTCACGTTAGGTGCATAGAGGCAGTACGGATGCATAACTTGTTTATCAAGAGAGCAGTGCTTGATACTGTGATGAGCACGCACATTAAATGATACGACCGTTCACAAAATGACTGTTTCATCATACTGGGCTAACCTACTAAAAAGCATGAGAGCTAGCTGACTCGGTCATGGAAGTGTCGAAATGAAGAAAAATAACGATTGCAAAAATTCAAATGCTGGGAACGCAGATGTTGGAATGAATTTTTTTTTTTTTTTGGCATGTCCAGTAAACAACATTTCCAAGGATCTGACCACAGCCAGGGGTACTTTTGCACTGGGGGTCTGATGCGCTCGAAAGGTCCTGTGCAATTCACTCCAAGTACACTTTTCAAGACGTATTAATCGTTACGGAAAAGCACAGAAGGATTGTCAAAAGCTAGAATGGATAAAGTGCACCTGGCATATCTTTTGAAAATAAAAAACGATGGGACAAAAAGGATGCCTACAGAGCGGCACGACTTTGGTTATAGCAGCGGTGGACAGGTTGCCAGCTGCTTCGGTGGCACGGAAAAGCGTGGCAATGAAACTGCGGCTAATCAAGTTAACAGAGTATGTGTAGAACAACAGTTAGGACGGGCAGCAGGTCAAATTTGTTTTTTCCTTGAGGGGACCATGAAGAATTTCGCTTATTGACGGGCTTTTAATATTTTACTTGTTGTACTGTTATAATCTCGTCTTTTCCCAGTTTCTTTATTAATGCATCAGGCTGCTAGATTCCCCCTCCCCCTCCCCTCTCCTGTCCTTCCCTTCGCCCTCACTCGCCATCCTCCTCTATAATTCCCAAAAAATATTGCTCGTCGAAATTCCTTGGAATTTATGTCTCTGCCAAGACAACCTACAGAAAACGACGCAACTAATGTCAGAAGAAGAATCGGCTATTAAGCGCATCAGTACAATGTCTTTTCAACCCTGTTCTGCGACGTAGTCTTCGTGTGCAGCAGCAGTGGCTACCGGGGCACACAACTGGATCATAGACGAAAGCTGGAAAAAGATCGGGTATGAGGCAGATACTTCTGAAATTTTAAAAGAATTATGACGTTATATGAGATTTGTATTTTAAAGAATTTTTTCCAACACACTCATGGCAGTAGGATGCTGTAAGCAAGTCAGGAAGACACAGAATAACAACGTTGATGCAAATGAGGGTTGGAAGAAGTACTCCACAAAACTATTAAAAACGCAACAGAGAGTAGTCTTTGGCTCACTTGACTGAATGACAAAGTATTCAAAACTGGAAAGTATAAATGCACTGTGCGCCTAAGAAATATCGTAAATGATGTTCATATATAAGAAATATCGTAAGTGATTAAGTTCATATATTCAAACAATGATCATTTCTTCTGAGCCCAGTTGGAGTGCGCGGGTTGGCAAGCATTGGTGAGATCGTGTTGTCAGGACGAAATTTTTCGAGCGATTTTACTAGAGCGGTTGCTGATACACTTGGTGATTCCGGGAACAATGGTGTTGATTTTGTTCGACGGTATCCGGCGTCTTTTCGGATTAGAGCTGTTTGGAACATTCCGGTCTCGAAACCAATCCCAGAGCGCACATTGTGGATGCGATATTTTTCAAATTCATCTTTGTGCTTTTTGTCTCGCATCTGTGTATAACCATCTGGTTCGCATAGATCCTGTTAAAAGATTTCAGTACTATTTACAGTAAGATTTCTAAACACGTAAGTAATGAAAAAATCACAAAACTTGAACCAATAGAAAATTAAGTCATTAGTCAGCGCACCGAATGCCGGTGCGAAGATGTGTTCTTTGCAGTTCCCCCGCAGGTTTTTTGTCGCTAGTAGCACTGTTTTTCCAGGCAGATGCTTCTAACTAAGAGAACTGAGAGCGGCTATCACGTCTGTTAGAAACTGTGATAATGACTCTCAATCCATGCCCAAAAAATTCAGTACTCTAGATGCTTCGGTTGCGGTATAACGTCAAATTTTGCGTGTTTGTACGTGAGTGGTAACGTGATTGGTGTCTACGCATGCGCTTGGCGCACCAATCACGTTCCCAGAGCGCACATTGTGGGTGCGGCATTTTTCCTGGGCTATGCTCAGAAAATTTCAGCACTCCAGCTGCTCTAGTTGCGAAGATACGTCAAATTTCACGTTTCCGTACTGAGACGCGCGTGATGCATGGAACGGACGTGAAAGTCGTTTTTACATTCACCTGATCAAACGCCGCCATCGGTTATGCTCAGAAAGTTCCAGTCCCCTAGCAGCTTCAGTTCTGAAGTTAAAAAACTGCCTACGTGAAATTTTCACGTGTACACACGTGGAATGCAGAGGTGCTGGAAACCGAATTTACTGTGACGGGTACACCAGGGGGTGACAAGCAATGTTGCAAAATTACAGCTCTCTACAAATTCTTGGTCAGCTTAAATCTGGAGTAGGCACGATGCCAATTTAAACCTTAACGTGTGCATACGAGAGACCTAGGTGTGCGTGAAGGCTGAATTTGAAATCCTTGAATTAGACGTGGCCAAGGAACATCTCTGTGAGGTTTCAGACTTTTAGTTTACGTCGTTCCCGAAAAGGCTTTTTTGCCAAAAAAACTTTCACGTGTCCGTACGTGAGGACCATTCAGAAATAAGCGCCAATTTTAAGAATTGTTGCCTGCACGAAGTGCAGATTAGGTTGCCAGAATTTCAGCCTTGTAGCTTTTGTAAATCTCGAGATGAAAACTCAGTAGAAAAGCACACAGAGATACATATATACACACACACACAGGCAAAGCTTCGACAATGTGCGTTTTTGCATTGCGTAGACGCAAAGAACGCATAAAAAGATCAATCTTGTGCAGAATCGACCGCACTGTTTTAGGTAAAAACGGCATAAGGCAAATTTTGTAATGTTGCCCTGCAAATCCTAAAATTCACCCTGAAAGGCGCATTTTCGACATTGTAGAAAGCGTTATATCCTCCTTCGAGAACATAAATCTCCTGATAGTGAACGAATGGATACCGGTGGTAATTTCGAACTCGATCACTTTTGCGCAAATGCGACGCGCTGGAAGCTTGTTATTTACCAATGAAAGAAAAAGGTTATTTTAGAATTTCTACACAATGGACATTCAGAATTTCAACTCTTTGATAATCAGCTGCAAAACAATCGGTGCGAGTGCGAATTTTTTCTCCTTTGAAGGAATAATGCGCTTTTTTCGGCTCATTGGTCAGCTGCTTGTCATTGCTGCCGATTAAATGAAAGAGGGAGGGGAATCTCCTTCGCAAATCCAGAATTATCGCAGCACATTGAAGACTGCGAAATTTTAAAGATGAAAGGAGCTGACATTGCTGAATGCATTGCTCAGTCCAGTCTAAATTGATTAGATTGACTAATGAGGGCGCCGAGGCTTTGTCAGGCAATTGCAGCTTTGGTTAACTGGTGTCGATAAATTAGCTGAACGTTTCTGACCTTTTTAGTACGCCACTATCTGCTAAAACGAAATGTGAACAGACCGGTTTTTCCAAGGCACGCTTTAAAGTATGAGCTGATGTTCCTATCGAACTACAGTTGGCAGCAACATAGCTAGAAATTCAAATTTCAATAAGCAACAGCGGTCGCATAAAAAAGTAATACATGCATGGACACTGAACGGTGCTTTTGAGAAACAGCTGTGAGTATACAGACCAGAGAAAATAAGTCTAACGCAGCTGCACCGGAGGAGCAGCGTCATTTTACTGATGTAGGCAACTTTTATAGACAGTCGAGACGGTCTCGAACCAATCAGTTACCAGAAGGTAAACTTACAGTAAAGGTCCTCGAGCCGTTGAATATTCGCAATAAAATATTGGAATTTTATTGTTTATTGTTCGAAATGCCGTCAAGCTTTCCGGAAAAAACGTCTTTTCCAACACAACAGGATCGAATATATTCGTAGCACCCTGTAATTTCATATTATGATTGATGCAATCAGCTGGTCTTCATGGAAAAATTTTTTACCTCATACCTTTCACGTTCTTTTTATGTCTCATGTACGACCACGTGAAATTAAATGTAACTCCACAATTAAAGCAGCTAGAGCGCTGAAATTTTATGGGCATAGCTCAAGGTGTAAAAATACCATTCATCATTTCTCCTCGCGTAAAAATACATTAAATTTGATGTAACTCCGTAACCAGAGCTAGAATGATCATCCTTTGCTCAATTTTTATATGACAGTTGCGGAAAAAAAAAACAATGATTGCATATCTATTTGTCTAATAATAATTACGTTCCTTATAACTCCTCATATTAGCAATAACAATTTTTCGGGAAATAATGCAAGAAAAGCATCTTTGCGCCAGCAGTCTATGCCGTGGCAACTAAGTTTGTTTCTGTAGAAGAAAACAGAGGTAGGGAAAGTTGCACAACTCGCACGCTGTTTTCTTGGCACAGAATCTCACTAAACCAAAATATTGTCTTGCTTGCTTACGAAGACATCAGTGCTTGAAGAGACTAACCCTAGTTGGAGCGCATCAGGCTTGCTGATGCGATCATGCGTTTTAGCACCAAACTAGAAATAATCAGGCTTTTAACTGTATGAGTGGTTGTTGCTTTGCACTTACCTTATGCGCTCACTAGGATAAATCATAGTAAATTCTGCATAAAGGAAAACGAAAAATTCCCGTTTAGTAGTCCTTTCTTACAAATGACCAAGCTGTTCAGTGGGCAATTTTCCCGTAAAAAATTCTAAATACCCGTATACGAAAACCACGCATGCCTGGAGGCTGAATTTGAAATATTTAATCCGTACTTGTACAGCGAACATTCCGCTAAAACTTCAGATCTCTAGCTTTCTGGTTCTTGAGTTAGTAATTTTCCAAATCTTTCACACGCTCGTATATGCGTACTAAGTCTATCGAGTGGCTGAATTTGAAACCTTTAAGCTGTACGTGAACGAGGAATATACTCTTAAAATTGCAGCCTTCTAACTTTTCTGATTGCCGAGTTAGCATTTTTCCCGACAAAATTTTCAGGTGCCGGTATATGAGGACTACTCGCACCTAGGAAATGAATTTGAAAACTTCAATTCACACGTGCACAAAGAATGTCCCTGCAAAGTTTCAGCTCTCAATCCTTCCTGACTCCCGAAGTCGCTTTCTCACCAAAAAATCTGCATATTTCTTAAGGCGCCCGTACGCGGCCCTAAGGCGTGCACGTGTGATGATATTACCCAGGCTGGAGCGCACTGGGCGGGCCCGTGCGATCATGCGTTTTTGCATCGGACTTGAATTACTCAGGTCTTTAACTGTATGAATGGCTGTTGCTTTACACCTATCTTTTGCGATCGCTAGCATAAATCACCATAAATTTTGCAAAGTAGGTGTACAATTTCCATTTAACAATCGTTCTTTAAAAATAACCTAGTAGTTCAATGAGAAATTTTTCGCCAAGAATTTTAAATGCCCGTACTTGAGAATCACGCGTACCTCAAGGCTGAATCTGAAATACTTAAATTGTACTTGGACAGGGGACATTCCCCCAAAATTTCAGCTTTCCAGCTTTTCTGGTTACGAGTTAGCAATTTCCCAGCAAAAAACCTTCACATGCCCCCCTTGGGTACTCCACGTCCCTGGAAAACTGAACGTGGACAGGGAATATCCACCTCAAATTTCAGCCTTCCAACTCTTCTGGTTCCCGAGTTAGCAATTTCGCCTTAAAACTTTCATACGCCCTTACGTGAGTGCCACGCATAGCTTAGGGCTGAATTTGAAATATTTGAGTTGTACTTGGATAAGGAACATTCCCACAAAATTTCAGCTTCCTAGCTTTCCTGGTATCCGAGTTAGCAATTTCCCCCCTAAAACTTTCATACGCTCTTACATGAGTAACACGCACGCCTGGAGGCTGAATTTGAAATCTTTAGCTAGTACGTGCGCAGGGAATATCCCTTCAAAGTTTCAGCTCCTTAGCCCATTTGGCTCCCGAGATCGCTTTCCTGCCAGAAAATTTGCATATATCTTTAAAGCGTCCGTACGAGGTACCCAGGCGTCCGCGAGGGATGAAATTAAAACGGGAAGGTCGCGCATGGTATGAGCACATAGTCCCAAAGTTTCATTCTCCTAGCTTTTCTGGTTCTTGAGTTGAAAGTGAGTGACTAAAAGTGCGAACACACAGACACATACAGAGAACCTGTTGCCAATATGCGATTTTGCATTTGCACATATGCAAAAACTCACAAAAACGGAAAAAACACGAGTGCACTTGCTCTCCTCTACTTCAGAATGGTGCTAAAGTATATCTTTGGCTTAACAGCTTCTTTGTTGTGGCGTCATCATCATCCACGTTTCAGTCGCTGCATTATGGCTTGGTTGTCACCAAAATTACCAGCTTAAACTGAGTACCGAGTTTTTTGCTGGGCGCCGTAAACTCATACAGCCCCAGTAATCTCCCTTCCTCCTTCCATTTCTTTCCAAGCAGGGTCTCATCTCATCTTCAGTCATTATTGCAGTTCCCTCCTCTTTGTCACGATCCCTGTGATCTAAACCGGCATCCCCGGCTTTCCCATTCACCTCTACCTCTAAGTAAATTGAAGTCGAAGTTCCCGTCCAATTTTGCCTATAATTCGAGGAAAAATACCATCAAAAACACAACTCACATTAGACCTAATCGAGCTGGGTTTTAGTAGCTGCCTGTCAAGCCTGGAGTGTTCTTATTTTTGTCTGATGGACAATGCAAGTGTTTCATTACCTTGATATGGCCGCCATTGTATTCAAACGGATATCGACAATCAATAAGCATATATTTTTCGATGAACTGAGCACTTCTCATGGATCTTAGCAATTTCGCGAGGATACAATTTGAAATGCATGCAAAACCTGCTGTTAGAATTTTCGGCTTCTCAATGATTTCCAGTGAATATTTCTGAAATATATTTGTAAATGATCATAACAATTACGGATTATTAGAAACTTCCAATTGTTGTTGTTTCATCGTCGTATTCTCTCCTATCGATGAAACTGAAAATTTCTCTAAATTGCTCTATTCCATTCAGGTCTTTCAGAAAATCATTCCATCTTATCAAAAAAAAAAAAAAAAAAAAAG